AGTCATTAGCAACCTGCAACATGCAGATGACACAACTTTGCTTGTTGAAAGTGAAGAGGACTTGAAGTACTTACTGATGAAGGCCAAAGACTATAGCCTTCAGTATGGATTACACCTCAACATAAAGAATATAAAAATTCTCACAACTGGACCAGTATGCAATGTCACGATAAATGGAAAAAATGTTGACATTGTCAAGGATTTCATTTTACTTGGATCCACAATCAACACCCATAAAATCAGCAGTCAAGAAATCAAAGGATATATTGCATTGGGCAAATCTGCTGCAAAAGATGAAGGTGCTCTCGTGATGTTATGGTTAAGGGATGAGACCGCTGAGCAGAAGGTCAGTAGTTCAAACCCACCAGCTGCTTTTGGGAGAAAGACAAGCAGTCTTCTTCTGCAAAAATTTATAGCCTTGGGAACCCTATAGGAGTCACTATGATTAGGAATTAACTCAATGGCAGTGGGTTTGATTTTTAGTTGCTGAGAAAGACCTCTTTAGAGTATTAAAAAAAGGCAAAAATATCACCTTGAGGACAAAGTTCACATGACTCAAGTCATAGTATTTTCAAAAGTCTCATAATGCATGTGAAATCTCAATAATGATTATTCATAAGGAAAATGAAACACAAATTGATGTATTGGAATTATGGTTTTTGCAGAGAATATTGACTATACCATAGACTATCAGAAGAATGAGCAAATATTCCTTGGAGGAAATAAAGAATGTTCTTACCAGTGAGGATGGTAAGATTTCATCTCATGTACTTTGGACATATTATCAGGAAAGACCAATCCTTGGAGAAGGATATTATGCTCGGTAAAGGGTTAGCAAAAAAAAGAGGAAGGTCTTCTGTAAGATGGATTGACACTGTGACTGCAACAATGGGCTCAAAAATTGCAACAATTGTGAGGATGGTGCTGGACTGGACAGTATTTCATTCTGTTGTACATCGGGTCACTATGTACAACTTGACAATACTTAACATCAAGAACAAGAACTCTGTCCTTAGCTGCTAACTGAAAGGTTGGCAGTTTGAACTCACCAGCCATTCTATGGGAGAAAGATGTGGCAGTCTTCTCCAGTAAAGTTTACAGCCTTGGAAACCCTATGGACAGTTCTATTCTGTCCTATGTAGTCACTATGAGTTGAAATCAACTTGATGGCAATGAGTTTGGGTTTTTGTTTGTTTTTTAACTTTACCCTACATCATGTCATTCCTATGTACCAAAAAATGGTTTTTCCCATTTTCCTTTCTCTCAAATATATTATTTATTAATAAGCTAGAAGTTATTAATCAGAAAAACATATATTATGCTATTAATGTGTGCCAGGCACTGTAAAAAGTGCTTTATATGCATTCCCTAATTTAATTTTCACTATATTCTTCTATTGTTAGTTGTCATCGAATTGGCTGACTCATTGCAAACTATATGTTGCTGCACTATCTTCACAATTATTGATATTTTTGAGCCCAGTGTTGCAGTCAGTTCATCTAATTGAGAGATTCCCTCGCCTTCTCTGGCCCTCTACTTTACCAAACATGATGCCCCTCTCCAGTAATTGGTTCCTTCTCATGATGTGTCCAAAGGAAGCTAGTCAATGTCTCAAATGATATTCTGTAATTCATACTTTTCATTGGCTAGCTTTAGGAAGTAGATCACCAGACTTAGCTTAGTCGGGAAGCTCCACTGAAACCTATCCATACCACGGGTTACCCTGGTGGCATTTGAAAAAGAAAAAAAAAAAAAGCAGTGGCAGAAATTCCAGCATCCTAGCAACATGTAAGGCACCACAGCACAGCAAAGTGTCAGCCAGGTTGTGGACATTCTTAAAGAAATGGTTATTTCACAAATGAGGAATCTGGGGCACAAAGAGAGGAAGCAACTTGTCCAAGGTCATACAGCTGGTCAGTAGCAGAGACAAAATACAAACCTGTTTTGTCTGATGCTGATGGTCTTACAACCCCCCTCCCATACAATTTCCTGTTTTTGGCATTCTCTTTGATTCCTAGTCTTTTAATCTGCATCAATTTTCCCTTCTTTTCTTAAAACACTTATTTGTTTTCTAATCTTTCCAACTACCATTCAATGTATTTCCTTCCGTGCATGGAAGGATTTAAACTTGAAACTGTGCGAAATTCATCTTTTCACTAGCCATTTTTCTTTAAATTTCAGTCATTTGGTTTCTAAATTTACTCACACTAACGGGGGACTCGACGGCACATAACAACAACAACAACAACAACTACTCTAATAACAAATTCACAGAGATTTCTCTGTCTTTTACTTATGCTCATCAGAGTAATTTGTAATAGTTATCACTTCTTTCTTCTTGAAACTGTTTTCCCCCAGAGGTCCTGCAACACTCTGGCTTCTCAACATGTTCCTACGTCTCTCCAGCAGTTAGTTCCTCCTTTCTCTTTTACTAGTTCTACATCTATGTTCTGTGCATACTGCTAGAGGTGTTTTTGGTTTTGTTGTGGTTGCTCTCTGATGTTGTTGTTCTCTGCTGTTTTCTTTCAATATAGTCTCTCAACTAACTTACTTTTCACGTTACAGTTTTAGTCATCAGGCTGGAATATACCTATCTCCCAGTTTTAATTCCTCACTAATCACTTTAAAGGCATTCCTGCTTCAGTGGTTTACTGCCAATTTAGATTTTACATACCAAACCAAGCAGTTGTCATTGACTCAGCTCTCTGGTGCATAGCAACCTCATGTGTGTCAGTAGTGTTGGACTCCATGGGGTTTTCAGTGGCTAATTTTTCAGAAGTAGATCACCAGGTGTCTTTTGTGAAGTACCTCTGGGTGAACTCAAACCACCAATCATTCAGTTAGCAACTGAGCATGTTAACTGTTTGTTCTATCCAGCAACTCCGTTTTATAACCAACCCCCCCAAAAAAAATCTCTTGCCTTCTGAACCAGTCACCTTAGCAAGTGCTTCCATTTCTAAGCACTCAATGAAGAAGATTCACAAAGGTCTCATCCTGTCTAAATTTCTTTGTCCATGTAAACAAATGCCAGCTACATATTAAGTGTGCAGAATTAAAACTGAGTCTCAGTTTGGCAGTTCCTCAACACGTAAAACATAGAATTGCCATATGATAACAAAATTCCATTCCTAGTATATATTCATAGAGTTAAAGCAGGAACTCAGACACTTGTACATCAATATTCATTGCAACACTATTCACAATAATCAAAATGTGCAAATAGCCTAAATGTCTATCAAGAGATGAATGGCTAAACAAAATATGTTATATATGCACAAAGGAATATTACTCATCCTTAAAAGAAATGAAATCTTGACATATGCTACAACATGGATGAACCTTGAAAAGATCATGCTGAGTGAAATAAGTCAGACACAAAATGACAAATATTTTGTGATCCCACTTACACAAAATATCTACAATAGGCAAATGTATAGAGACTAAAGTTTATAGTGATTATCTGGGCAGGTAGGAGGGAAGGAGACAGAAAGGCTTAATAGGAGACACACAGCTTCAGTTAAGGTTGATGTTATAATTTGAGAATGGTTAAGGGTGATGGTTGAACAATGACTAACAAAATTAATGTCACTGAAATGCATTTGTGATGAACATCAAAATGCAAATATTTTATTACATATATTTACTAAAATAAACTAAATAAAGGGAATTACAATGAATACCCCATCTATCCCACCAGGTTGATGTGAGGAACTACTGTAATATATCTGGTGAAAGTGCTTTGAATTTGAAAATAATAATAATTAGTATTATTATTTTAAAGTGAAGACTGCTTGTGATGACATGAGAAAAGGACACTAGGAATATCCCTTCTGAATGCACTTCAGCACAATGCTAGTACTCAAGTTCCGAAAGAACAGGGATGTCTGCCCTACACTAATCTCGGAGCCTCTAAAGCTAGTATGATTCAAGGAATAAACAGTCCATTGAATCAACCATTCAGCAGACTAGCAGCCATTCTCAAAGTCCTGTACAAGTGGATGCTGACACTTCTTCCAGGGTATTCTCAAGAGGACACACAAATGATACTGATCTGAAACATGAATGGCAAAAGAATCCTTGAAGTCCCGGCCTTGAAATGGTATGATTCAAGGTTTCCCAGTCTGAGCATATTTCACTTCTCATCTCCAGTATCTATACAAGTTTGTCAAAAACACAGCTAAACAAAGAACAATGGTCTTACTTCTGCTCCCACCACGGCTTCCCCAAAACCCCCAATAGCTCTGAGATGGAAATTAATACAAAGCTTATACTGAAACCAAAAGGCAACCACCCTATATTTTTGCTCTTTTGTTTGTTTGTTTTTCTTGGGAGGGAAGACTAGGAAGCAGGAGGAGGAACCCAAGTTCTCAAGCCTCTCCTCTGCCCTCCTTTTACTAGAGGGGTCTTTTGGGTATCAAAGGAAAACCATTTTTTAAGAAATAACCTCTTTCTGCTTTTTCCCTGTCATCTCACTGGCAGTCACGAAGACTGAGGCGAGGGGTAGGCTAGGACCTAGTTTGCCTGAGAAGCAGGAAGGCAAAGATTGCGAAGCGTCGCGATCTGGAGCGCTCAGGGGCAGGTGACACAGTTGTGGTTCCTAAACTCTGGCTTGACAATCTCATCCCCGCCCATTTTCAGGAGATCGCCAGACTCGGCCATACGCGCGCGCGCACGCAAAGGACCATAAAAGCAGCTGCAGCGCGGAAAAACAGAGCTCGCCCACCTACGAGCAGCTGCCGCGCCATGTATGTGAACGGCAAAGTGGCGCTGGTGACCGGCGCGGCGCAAGGCATAGGCAGAGCCTTTGCAGAGGCACTGCTGCACAAGGGAGCCAAGGTAGGCACGGCAAAAGGCCGCAGAAACTTTGCCCATTCTGGGACTCACCCCGCCACCTGAAGGGCTCCCGAGGAGGTAGGAGGGCTGTACCTAAAGTGCCCACCTTGACACTTCCCAAAGCTACTGAGCTTCAAGCGCTTGAACAAATCTCAAAAGCGGTTGGGAGAGAAGCTGAACGTTAATCATCACATTTCAGGGCCCGATGTGGCACGTTTTGTTTATTTATTGTTTCTCCGTCTGTCTGTCTGTCTCACGAGTTGCGCAGGACCTCTGTTCCTCCCTTCTTGTGTACAGGTAGCGCTGGTAGATTGGAATCTTGAAGCAGGTATGAAGTGTAAAGCTGCTTTGGATGAGCTGTTTGAACCTCAGAAAACTCTATTCCTTCAGTGTGATGTGGCTGACCAGGAACAACTAAGAGGTAAGACAAGGGAATCAATCCACCTACGCCCAACAAGCTCTGAACAAGCAACAATCCAAAGGCAGCCAAGGCCAAAAAGTGCAGGCAGCTGGGCTGTCTCTTGGAGAGCTTCTACCTTTAAGCTTCAAAAGATAGGTTGGACTGTTATGTTTCCTACTGACACCCCAATAGCCATAAAACATAAAGAAAGCCAAAACTGCTTGAGAAATGCTTTTATTTTAGTCGTTTGGCAGCATATAATGTAATCAAAATTCCTTTGTGTATCCAAACACAGTGCTGCTACAGTAATTATTAAATGATTGAGATTGCAGACTGAACTTGGAAAGTTAGAACAGGCAAAAGGACTGAGGCAGGTGACTTCTTCCAGAAAGCTGGAAGACAGAGAGTCAATATTGACAGTCAAATATAGCCGAGTTTTTCTTTTAAACATTTTAGAATAAAAGTTAAGGATCATTGTACGGACGTGCTAGAATGCTTCTCACCAGATGTTCTCTCTGGTTTTTCCCCTGTGAGATGTTACTTAAAAATATAAATAAATAATAGCTGCACTGCGGTGTTAGACTGAAGAAGAAAAGTCTCCATCAAACTTTCCTCAAAGCTTTCCTGTTTCCGTCTATACCCTTAAAATAGACCAATCTACTTGTGAAATACCAGGGGCAATATTAGTAGAGACAATAGACAGATTTGTTCATATAGAGGCCCAATAGATTTGCATGGAAAAAAAGACATTTTATTTTTCTGGGAAAAAATAGAAAAACAAAATATTTATATTTCACAATATAAATTGCCCTGGTGGTGCAGTAGTTAAAGTGCTAGTCTGCTAACCAAGAGGTCGGCAGTTTGAACCAGGAGTAGAAAGGAGAAAAATGTAATAGTCTGTTTCCTTAAGCATTTCAATCTTGGTAACTCTGTTGGGAAGTTCTACTCTGTTCTTTGCAGGGTCACTATGAGTCCAAATCAAATTGATGGCAGTGGGTTTGTTTTTTGGAGCTTCATAATTCACAGTTTTTATTCAAAGAGACTGAATGAATTGTTAGGAATGTTTCTAATCAAGTGGTCAAAAGAGTTTCATAAAATTCACTCCAGTACTGCTGTTATTAAAGAGACAAGGAGGTGTGAATTTCTTTCAAAATTTTAAGATGTTCTGTAAGAATAAAAATGGATTATTGTCCATTTAGAAGGGGGTGCCTTCCTACAGTTAAGGCAAATTATTTTAAAGAAAATTATGCAATTAAAATATGCAACCTCTAATGAAGACCTATAACATGGATTGCAAATAAGAGTAGAATAAATCTATAAATGGTGTGCTGCTAGGATATATTTTGCCACAAGATAAGAATTTGTTGATAGCACATGATATCTTGGGTTGAGGATAGAGTCATGTAAAATTCCCAACATTCATGGTGATGGAATAGAGAACAATACAGATAATTTGAAAACCATTTCTGTCTGAATTTATGTAGTTTCACATATGACATTTAACCTTAATTGTTTTGCTTCCCAGTGTTTAAAATTAGTGCCTTGGCAATAAACACATTCCTTAAGGATAAGTGATTGTGGAGGAGGAAACTCAGACACATAATAAGTGACCAGGGAATGCTTCTTGGTCATGAGAAATCCACATGTAGCTTGGGCATCAGCATTTATTTGCTTTTGAGGAAAACATGATATTTTTTCTTCTAGTTTGAGGATTTAATGCTACCTACAACTTTTTACACTATTTATACATGTGATCAGAAGCAACTTCATTGAAATAAAAATATATAGGTGAAAAGGTTCTTGGAGATTATCTAGAAATACTTCCTCTTACAAATGAGCAAATTGTAACCTATAGAAATCAGTAAATTATACAGATTGCCACAGCATATAGTGTCAGAGGAGGGCTAAACTTTAGGGCACAAGACTTAGCAGTATGTCAGAATTAAGATAGTGCATTATACATTGATTAAGGCAGAGTATAAGGAATGCAGTGAAGCAGAATGAGGAAAGAAAATTAAAGAAGAAATAACTAGACAAATTTATTTAACAACCTAATTTCCAATAAGGAGTGGCTGTTGATATGGAGTTCTGATGAGTAGAGCATGCTTGAGGTACAATGCAAGAAACACAATTTTGGTATTCTCTACATGTTTTCTACTGAAGGACCTTTACCTAAATCCATTTGACATCTTAAGGAATAGTTCAAAAAAATTCCATGATAAGAGTAAAGCAGTTTTAAGTATTGTTGCTACTATCATTTCCATTCCAGTACATGCTTGTATTTAGGTGCATATTTAAGTCTTAACAATGCTTTTGGCAATTAATCTGCATAGTCATTTATCCATTTGGGAACTGATTAACTTATGCCCTCCTAGTCTCATAGTAAAGCACAGGTTGTAATGGCTAAGGAGGATTTGCAAGAACTGGATGTTATGATTTTGTTTCTATCAAAGTCAAGTTTGTGTGAATCTACCTTTTGTAAAGGAATTCATATGATGACCTGAAGATCTGAGAACACATTTATGTTATGTGGAAGAACAAACACACTTGCTCTCTGTTGTCTCAAGTAATGGAAGTAGAACCATTGGTAAAAAGGCCCAGGGAAACAGTTTAAATCAATAGAACTTCAGGCAGACCCCAGGGTATAAATGAGATCCATTCATAAATTTCTCTTTAAGTCAAATTTGTAGGTAAGTCAGAACAGGTGACTTATTTATTTAGTCTTACCTATACCTAAGGCATTTGACTGCTAACCAGAAGACTGGCTGTTCAAACCCACCTGCCACTCCTCAGAAGAAAAGTTGGGCAATCTACTTCCGTAGTAATACCTCTTCAGAAACCCAAGGAGGGGTTGCTATGAGTTGGATATGACTCAACGGCAGTGAGTTTGGTTTTGGTTTATTTATTTAGTCTGTCTACAGTGCAATAGATCTGGTGGTATAGTGGTTAAAGCATTTGGCTGCTAACCAGAAGGTCAGTAGTTCAAACCCACCAGCTGTTCCGTTCCGTGGAAGGAAGATGGGGCAATCTACTTCCATAAAGATTTACAGCCTCGGAAACCCAACGGAGGTCACTATGAATCAGAACTGACTTGTCGGCAATGAGATTGTTTGCTTTTACAGTGCAAGAAGGAGCCCTGGGAGCTCAGTGGTTAAGTTCTCTGCTGCTAAATGAAAAGTCTATGGTTCCAATCCTCCAGCTGCTCTATGAGAGAAAGATGTGGCAATCTAGTCCCTTAAAGATTTATAGCCTAGGTAACCCTAGGGGGCAGTTCTACTCTGTCCTATAAGCTCTATCTCAGTCAGAATCACTTGAAGGCAATGGGTTCGGAGATTGGGTTAGTGCAAGAAAAAGCTTGAAGCCATTTCAGTGATTTAAAACTGTGTGTGCAGCATGTGGTACTGACTGTGATGAAGAATTTCTTGTGAGTAGTAGTTGATTCAATCCTTTTAAAGTTAGGGCAAATTTCCATAACGTTGAAGGGCAAGTAGGAGTTGTCTATAAATCAAACATTCATAATCAGGGAACTACCTGCATATTAAAAAGCTGCTTTGAGGGAAAAATGAATTTCCTGAGACTAAATTGGCAAAACACAGGTTTTACTGGCTAAAGAAGATTTGCAAGGACTGGATAAATGGCTAGATGGTGTAATAGGTACCTTTCATGCCTCAGAATCTATGCAGATTTTATCTAGTCAAATACAAGCTCTGGAGGCATAGTGCCTAAGGCATTTGACTGCTAACTAGAAGGCTGGCAGTTCAAATCCACCAGTCACTCCTTGGAAGAAAGTTTGGGCAATCTACGTCAGTAGTGATACTGCCTCGAAAATGCAAGGAGGGGTCGTTATGAGTCGGATCTTACTCCATGGCAGTAAGTTTTTTTTTTTTTTTGGTTAGTAATAATGATGAGAAAGAAAAAGAATAAAATAGTAAACATGCAAGTAACAATAATCAGATATCAACTGAATGAGAAGTAGACTTTTGACTCTTATTTACTAGAATATCAAAAATCCCTAAACAGTCATAATGGATCTGAATACACAAGAAGTGTTGTGTAACTATAACATTTTATAAACATAATATGGCTTAGTAAAATGGATGGTTGCCATATGCTAAACCATTGGGGTCCAATATCCTCAGAGACAGAAAGACAGATGCTAGCTGCCCAAACTGACTTTACAGAGGTCTTACTTACCATACTGAGTTCTCTACAATTTAGTGTATTAAGTTACTGCTTTCAGAACTTTGGTGTCATACAAATCACCTAAGGATGTTGTTAAATTTCACTTTGTGATTCATAGATCTGGGGTGGTCTGAGATTATGCATTCGTAACCAGCTCCCAGGTCCTGTTGATTGTCCACAGACCCAATGTTGAAAAGCAAGGCATTAAGTTACAACCTTTGAATGTTTTAACTATATTGTTGTTGTTATATGCCCTCGAGTTGGACCTGACTCATAGTGACCCCTCCTTGGGTCTCTGAGGAAGTAGTTGTAGCTATGAGGGTGGATAAATAAAAATCATTTCATGACATGAGATATGATTTATATGCTTGTATGTAAAGTAAAATAATATCTATAATGTATCTCTTTTTTAATTAGATACTTTTAGAAAAGTTGTAAATCACTTTGGAAGATTGGACATTTTGGTCAATAATGCTGGAGTGAATAATGAAAAAAACTGGGAAAAAACTCTGCAAATTAATTTGGTAAGCTATGTTAGCCATGCTTTTTTACCTAAAAAGTATTTAAGAATATTATGTTTATAATAACAACAAAAAATATTTCTTAGGTTCTGAGAAACAAAATAACAACCTATGATATTCAGTATAGAACAAAGGAATTTGAAGCATTGCCTTTCACAAATGAGAAGGCATTCTAGACTTTCAATTATTAAAAAAAAATCTGCCTTAAGATATTAAATGTAAATATAAATATGTATATATATTTCATTGCTTATCTCAGAGATTAGTGAACTATGGCCCATAGGTCACATTGCCCTGCCACCTATTTTTATATGACTT